CTACGGTCAGGTAGGGCTTCCAAGAACTGTGTGATAATTACGTCGAAATTTCATGTTCTGAGTCGGTATGAAGGGGCATATCCATGCTGCTTTACATTTCATGCACTTTGCTTCAGGTGACTACTGATGACGGTCGTACCCTCAGTGTTTATCGAGCTTTTGATAACAAAACTGGAGAGGTCGTGGAGGTGCATTTTGATGGGAACTGGTTAGAAAAGTACTTAACCTTTAAGGTTGGTTTGATGATCTTTTCACGATCTTTTTTACAGCATGGGAATCATATTACAAGAACCGAAGTTTGGCTTCACTTTAACGCGATTGTTGGTGCTTTGAGAAAAATTCTGTGCTCTTCTATGTTCCAATTGTAAGAAAATCAATGCCAAACTCGTCCAGCGAGGTAGGGTGAGGGAGGAGGGGGGGGTGATAAAGAGCGAAATTAAACATCGGTTTAGTCTATACCACGGCAAAACTAAGCACAAGTTGCTCACATGACATAGAGCTGGCCGATTCCAAGTCTACTAGTACTCTGTTTTTATTCTAATTCGACATTCTTTTTTAAATATTTCGCTGAACGAGAAATCAGTTTTTTTTTCTCTCCCATTAGTCTCAGAACACTCAGAAACCCTTATCTTCATCCGACCTGGTATTTCTTGCTGTTTTGCAGTTTTCGATAGTGACTGAAAAATTCAACGACGTGTAAGAACAACACGGTACTGAAGATTTCCTTGTTATTAAGCTCGTTGATGGTCGTCCATCACTGACTTCATATTTGCGGTATTCGCCCACATCATCCACAAGGACTTCACATTACAAAGAACCAATTCGTGCCTGTTTCGTACAATCATCGCAAGCACAAGATGGCAACAACACGTTCGTACTAGAGGTGAAATCGAGTGAGTTTCCAACATCTAGTGACCATTATTCAAGAGGATGGTTTTTCGTCGCGAATAGGAACCGATGAGCCTTTTTTTTCAGAGTCAGTGAAAGATGTTTACTCTCGAGGAGTGGAAACAGTTTCAGCTGCTCTTGCGAATGCTTTGTCTCAAATAGCGCCTATAAATCCAAATCGCGTTCGTGCGTTTTATGTGAGTCGTTATCTGTTTCTCACATTTCGTGTATTGCTGGAGGGAAGTTTACTTCCCTCAATTCTTCTTTTTCAGCATGACTATTAAGAAACGGGACTTTATTGAGAAAACTTTCAGAAAATCTCCCTCCCTATCTTAAACAAAATTAGATAGAATGCTAGGTTACAAATATTCACCTAATTTTATCAAACCGTTGAATGTGGTTTTAAGTAATCGCGGTAAGGATTTCTCCACGAAGATCAGTTGTTTGCACCAAAGTGATTGCTGTGAAGCCTCTAGGGTGTAATATAAGCTAATTCTCATTTCCTCGCGCTTGTGAGGCTGCATTTATACTTTGCGACAGCGTACAGCAACATTTCGAGCATTTTCGAGTACAGCCAGCGTCAGCGACTAGGTAATCTTAGGTATCGATCTAACGTGTGCCAGCGCACGCCACCCTCCACCAGGAGGGGAGCGTATGGAGAAGTAGGAGAGTAGCAGACTGCTGAACTGGGTGTAGTGAAATTGCGACGTGTGCAACCGCATCGTACAACCTGCGCACGCGGCAATTACCACGTCTTAACCGTGGTCTGCTGCCCTCCTACTTCACCATATTCTCCACTCCTGGTGGAGGCTGGCATACGCTAGTTCGATGCTAATCTTTCCTGTCGCTGGCGCTGGACTACGCTCGAAACGCCGAAAACGTTGACGCAAGGTATGGACGCATCCTGACCTCAGCGCTATTTGCAAAAAGTACCGCGATCTACGGTTGGTGACATTAAGTAGGGAAAATGTGGACAGAAAGAAACAAAACAGCTCGTAATAATTGCTCTTACTCGCTTTTCAGGATTCGGGACCCGATAACTCACTCAGAGTGTTCTTCTCAGTTGATGAAAAAGCAGACGTGAAGCCGTCTGCTGTGCCGAAATATAATTACACGGTACTTCGTCCTGGTTGTCCTTGGCGGAAAAAATTGTTATTTGTTGATTCAGGCAGAGGTTGCATCTTCTGATTTGTTGAGTAAGCTGAACGAAACAATTTCTAAAGGAGATTGGAAATTCAGTGTGACTACTTCTGAAGGGAAAACTGAGGTTTCCTTTTGACATCAACGTTACTGGCTACTGCTTCAAGCAACATGTACATTGTAGGATTGGACCGTAGCAGCACGTTCGCTGAGTCGTTATGCGCCTTCATCATCTTCGAAGACTGGTTATTCAGGTTATACGGGTGGAGCTATGTTCGTATTGGGCCTTTTCTCCTTGGTTCTTGGTGTTGCAATAGGTACAGTATTTAAGTAATTATGAATATTTATCTTCTTGTTTTAAAACAAAAGTTTCAGGTGCCGGTGGGGTTTTCTTTGTTACCAAACGGCAACGCATTTCTACTTTAGCTTACCAAGTTTTCGAATGATATGATCAGTTGGTTCCTGTAAATTGCACGACTTGGTCTGATGATTGTTTTTCGTTATTTTTGCCATTTTTCACTTTCGGATTTCAACTATTTACCTTGTCATTCGGTTTATTCTGAAGAAGCTTCATACTTTTGCATAACTTATTTGTTGATAGTTTTCTTTTGCTAATCCGATTCATTACTTGTTCACGTACGAGTCGTTTTGTGTTTGGTGAAGCGGTGTCTGTGTTAAGATGTAATAATCTGATTAAATATTTTATCTTACACGTGGTTCATGTGTTCGGTCTGCAGGTTTTGCCGAATATTGTTTTTTTTTCAGAACATTTTTGACTGTTGATAGTTTGGCTCAGTTTATCCTTTACTGCCTCACTGTTCGAAATCCTGGTTAGGTTTTGATCGAAGAGTTTTCGCAAGAGTGAAGTATGCTACAGTAGTTTTCCTCTCACGATGAGGATATCTTCGCTTGATTATAAACCTTCCAGCAAGCGCGCCACAAGTCCCGGCCCAAAACATCTCTGGCACAAATTCAGCTCAAAACTTGCTCCCGGGGCACATTAGCTCCGTAACAACTGGGTATCTCGTCCAATTAGCTCGTTATGACCTGATACGTGCACTAAAGGCGTCGAAACTGACTCCGGCGTCGATGCCTGTGAGGCGTTTCACGTTGCCTGAATGTGAAATTCGTGTTCAGCGGGTCAGATTACATTCGGAAACAGAATTTTGGCCAAATATTCACCGAAGAAAATTTGCTATCAAATGTTGTCAGGATTTCGACGATGGGGCGGCAAAGGGTATACAGTGCCGAAATTTTTGTTGATTCAAAAGCAGGATGGCGCAACGTGTGACGTCATCCGCAGAGAGGGCACTACGCATTGTTGAAAAGTCGTCGAGGGTACGAATACAAGATCTTCGGGATAATATCGGAGCGAGGACGAGTGGTCGACAAGTGACGAAGCGTGCGAATCAGGTAACATTCGTCCATAGTGAGATCAACGAGAGTAGAGTAGTAATGAATTTTCATTTATTTCTAGGGAGGTCACACTCGTGGTGCTCTACAACATGCGGCCAAACCTCCCTTGGGATGGATTTGGGGGAACTTCTTCCTACCATGGCAACGGCTTTTTCCTGGCGAGAAGTACTTCAATGCTGATATAAAGTAAGCTTTTTGAGTTCCTGATTGATTTCTTAGGATGCCTGTCGTTTGCAGTACTTGGGTAAGAACAGTGAGTGCTATTCCATGCGGTTCGCATTCTACTTCCATAATCGTAGTAAACTCTGAGAGCGATATGGGCTGCACTTATTTACGGACCTGTGGAGGGTGAAGGGTTTCCTTGGCCGGGATTAAAGGAGGTTAGGGACTTGGCTCCTGGAGCGAGGGTGCTGCCAGCGGGCCACGTGCCTTGAGGAGGGGAGAAGGGGGTGCAGAGGGGTGTTAAATCGAAATTTCTCCTCAATGCGAAAAACAGTTTAACTTTGGGTGGACTAGTGTCAACAGGGAATGTTGGTATAATGCCAGCCACCCTAGTCTCGTTAAATCAACGAAGAGGATGCTGGCCCCATGCGAGTTCGTCCCTTATCCTTTTTTTTTATGAGGCGGAGCTGGTGTAGTGGCATGTGGCACGCTTACCACGCACACTTTCCGGAGGTCAAATACTAGATCGGCTCCCTCCAGGCCAACTAAAGCCTCTATCCTCCGGGGACGGCGAATTGGTGGCAAATTCTTCTAAGACGGTAACAACAGTGGCGCGTACATCGGCTGACCCCGCAAGTTCTTGTATAGGCTGCATTCATTGAGCCACTAGATTCTTAAAGAGAGAAGGTGGGAAAGGGAATGCGTGCCGCATACCAAGTAGGGCTTGATCAACGACGAAGACTTTTTTCACTCCCGCGCCTCTACCATCGTTTTCATACGGCACCACATGTTCGTAGCCACTGCCTTGCGTCTTGCTTTTGATATAATTGAGATCAAGTTTTTATGCAAAACGCTATAGTTGTGAAGATTTTACGAAATGAAACTGGAGAAGAATGAGGTCCTTTTTGTTACAGTGTTCGTCGAGAGTACGTCCCGTTGTCACTGGTTGAACTGTCTCGGCTTATTGACTTAGGATGGGTAGATCCATCGTTGCCTATAGATGTTGCTGCCCTTTGCCGTACTCAGAAGTTCAGAATCAAACCGAAACTGCGACAATGTGGATTTGACCTCACTGCAGAGGTGATTCTTCTATTTTTGTATTTTACTACAACATAGTCCATAATGAGACCCTCATTTCTTAATTTCTGTCGTTTTTTCTGATTCGCTTTGATATAATGATGGTGGTTTGTGATATTTTGCGAATCTATGCAAAAGCAAGGACCATCTGCAGCCCTCATTTGAATTCGAAAAAAGACAAACTGCGCCTGATGGTGACTCTTTCTTTTGTAAAAAAGCAATCTGCCGTTGCATTCCACAGTGCTGAAGACTCCATCGTACCGTTGTAAAATTCTGTCATGACGTCAGTGTTATCGCGGGATCATTTACGTTAGGGTAGACTACGTGCCTGTTCCGCCGGAAAGGGATTGAAAATGGTTTCCTAGGCCTTATTACCCTAGCTGTCTGCTCTTCATCTCATCGCGCGTTAGTGTGGGCTCCTAAAATTTCAGCAGTCCTCACTTCACTAGATGTGGTATGATTCTGTGGAGCTCGTCATTGAACTGCAAGGCTCACTTCTCTTCTCACACCGGCTTCAATAAAATAATGTGGCTCGCAATTCCCTTTTCCATTCCTTCTCTCTTAAGAATCTAGTGGCTCAATGAATGCAGCCTATACAAGAACTTGCGGGGTCAGCCGATGTACGCGCCACTGTTGTTACCGTCTTAGAAGAATTTGCCACCAATTCGCCGTCCCCGGAGGATAGAGGCTTTAGTTGGCCTGGAGGGAGCCGATCTAGTATTTGACCTCCGGAAAGTGTGCGTGGTAAGCGTGCCACATGCCACTACACCAGCTCCGCCTCATAAAAAAAAGGATAAGGGACGAACTCGCATGGGGCCAGCCCTTATACGAGGACTAGACTCAGGCTATGGGCTGGCATATATAAGCCAAACATTCCTGTTGACCACTAGGTCCAGCCCAAAGTTAGAACGTTTTGTCAGCATTGAGGAGAAATTTCGATTTAACACCCCTCTGCACCCCCTTCTCCCCTCCTCAAGGCACGTGGCCCGCTGGCAGCACCCTCGCTCCAGGAGCCAAGTCCCTAACCTCCTTTAATCCCGGCCAAGGAAACCCTTCACCCTCCACAGGTCCGTAAATAAGTGCAGCCCATATCGCTCTCAGAGTTTACTACGATATGGAGTGGAATGTTGGAAGCGACGATGGATTGCACTACTGTTCTTACCCAAGTACTGCAAACGACAGGCATCCTAAGAAATCAATCAGGAACTCAAAAAGCTTACTTTATATCAGCATTGAAGTACTTCTCGCCAGGAAAAAGCCGTTGCCATGGTAGGAAGAAGTTCCCCCAAATCCATCCCAAGGGAGGTTTGGCCGCATGTTGTAGAGCACCACGAGTGTGACCTCCCTAGAAATAAATGAAAATTCATTCTACTCTACTCTCGTTGATCTCACTATGGACGAATGTTACCTGATTCGCACGCTTCGTCACTTGTCGACCACTCGTCCTCGCTCCGATATTATCCCGAAGATCTTGTATTCGTACCCTCGACGACTTTTCAACAATGCGTAGTGCCCTCTCTGCGGATGACGTCACACGTTGCGCCATCCTGCTTTTGAATCAACAAAAATTTCGGCACTGTATACCCTTTGCCGCCCCATCGTCGAAATCCTGACAACATTTGATAGCAAATTTTCTTCGGTGAATATTTGGCCAAAATTCTGTTTCCGAATGTAATCTGACCCGCTGAACACGAATTTCACATTCAGGCAACGTGAAACGCCTCACAGGCATCGACGCCGGAGTCAGTTTCGACGCCTTTAGTGCACGTATCAGGTCATAACGAGCTAATTGGACGAGATACCC